CAAAAAACTATGGATGCCGGCCATGAAAGCCTATGACTTCACATAGATGGGGATGTTCAATAGTGGAAGGCTAGGGTCCACATTAACCCCCAGGAGATCTTGGAGGGCTGCATTTTCTCACCTCCTGCAATATATATATATATATGAATACACACACACACACACACACACAATAGGAGGTAAATGAGAAATGCTCCCAAGCCCCCCTAGAGCATATTTGGGGGCAACTTTAATCCCTTTGGGCTCTGGTTGGTCACAGAAGTAGCCCAGGGGTCCATATTTCTTCCACCTCTGATTTATTCCCATGTCTCTTTGCTGTGTTTCCTATTGCTCTGCTGCCTGATCAATAATCTCTTTTAGGCTTCTGCCATCGATTGGGTTCTGTTGGTTGCACCGGAGGCTCTCTCTTGAGATTTCCTTTGATTCTCTTCTCCTTCATTTTCAAATGCTTTTGTGCTCCCCTCCCTCTTCCCCATCTCTGTCTTCTTCCGGACCTTTGCTTTGAGCAAAATCATTTATGTGGAATCGATAGCTGTGGCAAGCCGTGTTACGGTCTCAATTCCAGTAAGATTTTTAAAGGACTCAGCTCACACACTGCTCTGCTTTTAATGCCTGAACTAAATTTGAAGACTGTGTTTAAGGGAACCTTGAAATAAACAAAGGTTTAAGTCTTGATGCTACTCCCAACTAGAGTAAACCCAATGAATCAATGGGATTTATCTATTTGTGGACTCCTCATTCAGCAGTGGATTGAATGGGGTTACTCTGGTTAGGATGAACCATGAACAGATGGTGCAAAGGAGGCTTAGGCTGTATAAATATAGAATCCTTTTTAATTTATATTTTGGTTAATAATTACAATACATTGTTGACTACATAAAAAGAGCAGGCTTTACAGTGCATACATTCTTCAGACCGACAGGGACCAAGTCTCACCACATAGCCCATTATATATATTTTAATAGAATAAGTAATTGGTTTATTGAACTTCTACCCAGCCATCAACTAGGCTTCCTTACAGATTTTCCTTAAGAGCACCATGAGAAGGTAGGAAAAACAAGACCACAGTAAAATAGGATGACTTGTTCAAAGACCATGGGGTCTTCTGCTCAGACCATTCTCCTGGCAATCTTTCCATAGCCAAGGCTTATCAGCTGTCATCCAACTGGACTGGGCTTCCAAAAGACTGGTGGGGGCAATGGTGCACAGGACAGCAATCCAAGAGACCCCCCCCCCCAACCTCAGTACATCTGCTATATGATGGCTCATATAGTCCTAGACATGCTCCAGTGTTCCTTCCCTGTGGATCTTATGCTTTCAAGAAGGTGGAATCATGACCCAGCTCTTCAGCTCAAAGTTTGTGTGGTTACATCAATATGAGATGGTGAATCCACTCTTGGTTTTGGATACATTTAAGGATGCTCTCTAAAGAACAAAATTTTGGGGGGTGGGTGGGATATGGTTCAGCAATATAGAAAATAGATTTGATGGATAGATCATACGCTCCAGTCTTGGAGGGCCTCACCCCAGGCTGCATTCCCCATAAATAAAAACAAATTTCTTTGCCTCAAAATGCTCCCCAGCCTCCTAGAGGGGTGCACCATTGTCAAATTCTTAGGTCCCCCTGGGCCATTTGAGACCTAAGAATGGTCTTTTGAAACAATAGGAAGTGAGCAGAAGTCCTATATATCTAGATCTAATATGTAGAAAAATCAAAGTAATATATAAAAGACAGATATCATTGTCATATAGACAGTAGAGAAGCACATGTTCCAACTTTTCATCCAACATCTGTAATTACATTGACTTAATGCCCTTATCCATTTCCAGACAGAGCGATCTCTTCAGAAATTCAGGAGTGCTAACTGGGTGATTAAAAAGGGAGGAGAAGAGGATATCCTTGAAACTAGGATTCCCAAATCCCAGGACTTGGCCTTGAGTTTCAAGACCTTTTCTTTGTTCCTAAAGGTGCGGTGGAGGAATCTTGGGGTGAGAGCAATGTCTTGAAAAATGTGCGTTTGTCCATCTTCATTTGTTAGACTTGGGGTCTGTTATTTGAATAGTGCATACTAGTATCTGACATCAAATACATCTTCCAACATTTCACAGATTAAAACTGGCACATGTGGCCAAGCAACACTAGAGTGTGGTCAAGACAGCAAATGTTGTGAATGAGGAAGGACTTACAAGCGGGGAGAAGATGCAGGAGTTTGCTGTTGCCTGAACTGATTGGGAAGGGTATTTCTGCCCACCTTCTCTTCTTCTCCTCTG